CATATTGACTCCCCAAAGAGGTCAAGTGTATTTTATCATTTTCTGAAAGGTATTCTTATGCTCTATCCAACTATGATAAACTTATGCGTGGCAAGTCTTGAGAAAGTAGTAATAACTAATACTGAATATCGACCAAAAATGAATTATTTCAGAAGTAGCAGAGGATTATTTCATAGCTAATTTGCATATTAACTCCCCAAAGAAGTCAAGTTTATTTTATTATTTTCTGAGAGGTATTTTTATGCTCGATCTAAAGTCTTGAGAAAGTAGTAATAACTAATACTGAATATCGACCAAAAATGAATTATTTCAGAAGTAGCAGAGGATTATTTCATAGCTAATTTGCATATTAACTCCCCAAAGAAGTCAAGTTTATTTTATTATTTTCTGAGAGGTATTTTTATGCTCGATCTAACTATGATAAACTCATGCGTGGAAAGTCTTGAGAAAGTAGTAATAACTAATACTGAATATCGACCGAAAATAAATTATTTCACACGTAGAAGAGGATTATTTCATAGCTAATTTGCATATTGACTTCCCAAAGAGGTCAAGTGTATTTTATCATTTTCTGAGAGTTATTTTTATACTCTATCCAACTATAATAAACTTATGTGTGGCAAGTTTTGGGAAAGTAGTAATAACTAATACTGAATATCGACCGAAAATAAATTATTTTACACGTAGAGGAATATTTCATAGCTAATTTGCATATTACCTCCCCGAAGAGGTCAAGTTTATTTTATCATTTTCTGAAAGGTATCTTTATATCCTATCCAACTATGATAAACTTATGCGTGGCAAATCTTGAGAAAGTAGTAATAACTAATACTGAATATCGACCGAAAATAATTTATTTCACACGTAGAAGAGGATAATTTCATAGCTATTTTGCATATTAACTCCCCAAAAAGCTCAAGTTCATTTCATTATTTCCTGAAAGGTATTTTTATACTCTATCCAACTATGATAAATTTATGCGTGGCAAGTCTTGAGAAAGTAGTAATAACTAATACTGAATATCGACCAAAAATGAATTATTTCAGAAGTAGCAGAGGATTATTTCATAGCTAATTTGCATATTAACTCCCCAAAGAAGTCAAGTTTATTTTATTATTTTCTGAGAGGTATTTTTATGCTCGATCTAAAGTCTTGAGAAAGTAGTAATAACTAATACTGAATATCGACCAAAAATGAATTATTTCAGAAGTAGCAGAGGATTATTTCATAGCTAATTTGCATATTAACTCCCCAAAGAAGTCAAGTTTATTTTATTATTTTCTGAGAGGTATTTTTATGCTCGATCTAACTATGATAAACTCATGCGTGGAAAGTCTTGAGAAAGTAGTAATAACTAATACTGAATATCGACCGAAAATAAATTATTTCACACGTAGAAGAGGATTATTTCATAGTCTTGAGAAAGTAGTAATAACTAATACTGAATATCGACCGAAATAAAATTATTTCGGACGTAGAAGAGGATTATTTCAAAGCTAATTTGCATATTAACTCCCTAAAGAGGTTAAGTTTATTTTATCATTTTCTGAAAGGTATTTTTATACTCTATCCAACTATAATAAACTTATGCGTGGCAAATCTTGAGAAAGTAGTAATAACTAATACTGAATATCGACCGAAATAAAATTATTTCAGAAGCAGAAGAGGATCATTTCAAAGCTAATTTGCATATTAAGTCAAGTTTACTTTATCTTTTTCTGAAAGGTATTTTTATACTCTACTCAACTGTTATATACCCATGCGTGGCAATTGCTCTAAAATATCTATTTATGTTGAATATTGGCCGAAAATAAATTATTTCAGAAGTAGAAAAAGATTACTTCAACAATTCCACAATCCCTTATTATTACCTTTGTGTTGAATACGAATTCAAGGTTGCACTCGTTGTGTATTTTATTTATTCACTTAATTGCATGGTACAATTTTAAATATAGGTTATATTGTCAATTTCCATCGAAAATCCAAGTTCTTGCCCGTGGTTATTTACTGACATTTTCGGATAATTTGTAGGTCTTCTGTTGCTGCAAAAAGTTACTCTAGCCCACAATTTCAGTTTCCAGTTTTAGAGGCTCTAGTTCAAGTATTTCTGTAACGCGAAGTATCGTTCAAAACTTTGCTTCAGATTAACTAGAAAAAGGTAAGAAGGTATCAGGGATATAATTAATACATGTGGACACAGTGGCATTTTGTTGTAGAGCAAGGTTATCCCAGCCCACAATTCCGGTTACCCCAGCCCACAATTTCGGTTACGCTAGCCCACAATTCCGGTTACTCCAGCCCACAATTTCGGTTACTCCAGCCCGCAATTTCGGTTACTCCAGCCCACAATTTCGGTTACTCCAGCCCACAATTCCGGTTACTCCAGCCCACAATTTCGGTTACGCTAGCCCACAATTCCGGTTACTCCAGCCCACAATTCTGATGACGCCAGCCGACATTGCAGTTTAGCGGTCGGCACATTTGATTGTGGGTACTAGTTTTAATGTAAAAGAACACGTTATTAGTCCCATAAAGAAATTGAGTAGGTTTGCCTTGCTTAAAGTCCTTTAATCTCTGTAAATATATGCATGATTAACTCTCTGATCTTCAACTAATTGTGGGCTAGAGTAACTTTGGTGATATTTCAATGTCTGAACGGGAAAAATGGATTAGGCCTACTGATTTTTTTATCCTACAAAGAATTCTACACTTTTTCTACACCTCTTTGATAACAGATAGTTTGAGTTACTGTACAATTGTTATTTTGCTTCAAAAATAATATCGCGCCGGTACCGGTATTTTGGAAAAGTTAGAGTTGCACAGAAGCCGATGTACGGTAACGGTACCGCTACCACATGCGCGTGGAAATTAAAATCATTGCATAAACTGTCTTGTAGCTAGAAAAATTCCGAAGTTCAGGGAACGGTACCGTAAAAGCGCCTAACTTCGGACAGTTCCTAACTTCGGACAAAAAATTTAAACGACCACATCTTGACTACTAAGCGTCGTATATTGCCAATTTTTATAGGTAGAGCTGTTTTATATACATCTATTCTCAACCTTTTTAATGTTGTGTACCTATTTTTTCTCGAAAGAACGGAAATATTGCCGAAAAATGACTGCCCGCTATTCAACGGCACAGAGCGTCGCTCCTACTTAAGCTATTATCGTCAAAATACCTATCATCATCCGGTAGAGGGCAATAACAATGTATATATTTTATCAGAGTGATCGCAAGATGTCATACGAGATTTAAATAAAACGTAAAATTCTGAATTGTAAATTTTATAAAATTATTGAGATTTCACGCTGCGTCAAAAGTTACGTCAACCTCAAGTAGATCAATTTTCGCTCACTTCCGACATGACGTCACACTGCCTCGCGGAAACGAATTTTGACGCCCGACGCAACGGCGCCAAATTAGAAATTTCCGTTTAAGGTAAAGATGCATTCCAGTGTAATATTTCTGTATTTTGTTCGGTCCATGTGTGAACGTATGCCAAAATCACATTAATGAGAATACGTTTCTTACGTAACCAATGTCGTCAAGATTCGAAAATATAAAATTAGAGAAATGCAGCGTCCATGTGGCACTGTATACTGACGAAAACAACTATTTTACGCTTTAAAGTCAAAATCGATAGTTATTAGATACACCCGTGTGAAGAATTCATTTTATTCCGAACTAAAATCACGGTACCTATCTCAATGTTAATTAGCGAAATTGAATTGAAGATTAAACGTGACAATTGTGTTCGCGTTAAGTTCGATGAAAAATTAATTACTTATAAAGGTAACAGCGTAACATCAACAGAGCTATCTGTCAAGAATATTAATATTTCAATGACTTACAAGCCGGTTAGAATGTTTCATTTTAGATCGAAACGGTTTGCATAAGATTAATTTGCGTATGTTAATTCTTGATTAGAATGGCAAACGTGTCATTATACTGATCTGACGTAACTAAAATATCAAATAAATGCAACAAGGTAAACATAGGAAATTTTAAATAAAGCATTTTCGCCACGACGTTTCGATGTTACGTTACGACGCCGATCGAGCGTGATTACGTCGTCCGCGTCGGTAGACTCTTTCTCTCTGTGTGTCGCAGTTACGCAGTGAGGAAAATGACTGTCCGAAGTTAGGGCAGTGAAGGATAATGGTCAGATGACAAGAAAAAACGATTATTTCAATAGTAAAAATATTCCGATGGGCACGAATTTGCAGGGAATGTAACGTACCGCATCAATGTTTTACCGAGCAATTTTGGCGCAATTTGGACAATAAATGGTCAGGTTATTGAAGAAAATATGGTATTATGTCCGAAGTTAGGGGTTTTTACGGTACCGGTATGTCGGTACCTTAAAATCGCCTAACTTCGGACAAAAATTCCAAACTGCCATAAAAGCGCCGTATAATGACAGTTACAACTATTATAGATAGCGCTGTTATATGTTCATCTATTCTTCACTTTTTGAATTTTTCATAAACCAATTTTCAGTGAGAAAACGGCGATTTTTACAAAATACGACTGGGCGCGTTTCAAAGACGCACAGCGTCGCTTCAATTCACACCACAATTTTCAAATTACCATCACCCGATAGAGGGCGTAAACAATATACATAATCCATTGAACTGATCACGAGATGTCGTATGAGATTCGTGTAAAACATAAATTTCTAAATTTTATTCCCATAAAAATAATGGGATTTCGTGCCTGCGTACACAGTTACGTCGGCGTCGGCTGTTGAGAATGTCCAATTGAATAATACGTATGGTCATAGATGCTCTAAAACAGGGGTTCTCAACCTTTTTTCTGTCAAGTATCATAGTCATAGTCAAGTTTATTTTTTCCCATTCAGTAAAAAATAACATACGAAATTAACAAAATAAAAAACTGAAAACACAAATTTACTGGGGAAGGGAAGTCGCGGGGAGCCAGGAATGGATATCGAGCAGCGATACCCGAGGTTCAATATCAGTATCAGTAATTTATTTTTTCCACCATTTGAAAATACGCAAGGTACATATACAGAATAAAATAAAAGAAGAATAGCATTTCATGGTGGAGGGAAACGCTGAAAAACCAGTACTGGTTATCGAGCAGCGACACCCTAGGTGGGGTCTAACACAGCATGACGAAATAACATGAAATAGAAAGCTTAAAACGAATATGAATGAAAAAGCAAAATAATCACACTAAATAAAATTGTATATTGGAAACGTTCAAGTATCCAGCGGATTTTCGGGAAATCCAGAGTCTCTCGTTAATATGAAAATAGACTCCAAGCACCATCGAGGTAACCACGGCAACTGCTCAGCTGAAGCACTGGCTGCGGGCGAGTGTACAGTTAACGTCAAACCTGATAGCCGGAAGGATGTCGGTATTGCAGTAGGAAATTAAAGATTCTATTCAATGGATTGGACAATAAATAACAGGTAACAATAAATACTACAGTATTTTTTATATCTAATTTATGTAGGACATGAAACTGTAGCAAATAACATGTCCACAATGAGCAGAAGATTGAAATGTGTAACAACAATTGGTAAGTAGACTACTAGTGTAGAGGTGATACAATTCATAATGACAATAGTTGCAAAATAATATAAGAAAAATATAACATTTATTATCATATAGCATGTAATGGACTAAAATGTTGGAGACTGAAGTCTTAGTTATTGACCCAGCTCCATGTAGAACTAAGGTGCTTTTAAGACCGGGAATTGTTTGATTGCGTGGCATAAATGAGCTTACTGCACACAGTAAGATTAGGGTGATACGCTTAAGATACTGTTATATCCAAGTACCTGCCACTGACCCAGATAGGGAAGATATTGAATGGAATTTGAGCAAATCACAAAAATAAGATACGAATAACTATCATTCCAGGTATTAAAGACCCAACAGCTTGAAATGTGGTCAAATGTTGAGCTGACAATAGCAAGAATACAAGACTCAGACATGATATCAACTGGAAGATGTGGCGGCACCGGATTGGTAAGTGGAGATCAAGAGTTTTTTGTATTTAGCTTTGAACATATTGTATGTGGTATCACGCAGGGTTTGGGGAATGCTATTCCAAGTTACTACTCCTTTGTATTTCAAGGAGTTTTGGGATTTACTTGAGAGGAAGCGGGGTACAAAAAAATTTGACTTTGCGGAAGAGCGAGTGTGATGATGTTCGTGCACAGACCTAACCGTAAAAAAGTAATTGTCAAAGGCTGCCGGTAATCGATTGTTTTGGAACTGATGCATGATTTCAGAAACCTCAAGCTTGTGGATGTCAGACAATTTAAGCACATTAGTTTTGAGACATATCTTATTTAAATTAAAACGAACAGGTGCTCTAGAGAGGATTCTAACAGCCCTGTTTTGTAACAATTCCAATTTGTGCAAATTTGTAGGGGCTGCAGAGCCCCATGCAGCTATGGCGTATTGAATGTGGGACTGGAAGAGAGAAAAGTATACGGTCCGCAGGGTCGAGTCTTGAACATAATATCTCAGTTTACCCAAAATCCCGGTTGATCGTGATAATTTTTTATGTATTTCAGTGATATGAGTATTCCATTTTGGTTGATTGTCAATAAAGAGTCCAAGATATTTATATGAGCTGACAACTTCTAAAGATATACCCTTAATTTTGATTGTAAGATTTACATTTCCAGTACGAGCTTTCGAGTTAAATAGCATTACTTCAGATTTGTCAATGTTGATTGTGAGTTTGTTGCATGTCATCCAATTGTGTATTTTATTTATTTCAGTGGCTGTGTTGGTTTGTAGAGTTATCAAATTCTTCGCGCTATTGAGAAGGCAAGCATCGTCAGCGAACAATTTGCTTAAAAGATTTGATGAGTTCGATAAATCATTTATGTATAATAAAAATTCAAGAGCACCCAACACAGAACCTTGAACAACTCCATAGTGAAATTACGTTTTTAGAACACTTTTATATGAATGACCAGGCTTTGGCAGCTGAACCACATATAACATCGAAGAGACATGAAAGTTATATGAGACTACCATAAATAGTACATGGCAACATCTCTAATCGAGCCCACCAGATAACTTATGGCGATTCCCCGATTGATAGGCACTGAAGTGTGTAAATTGATTGAGGTATACTAGTTGCTATGGTAACGTGGAATTCAAATCGGTCGAGTGGAGCAGTTCAGGCCATGCATTGATAAACACATGATGAGGTGATAAAGAAGACAGGTAATATAATTCTAATAATAATATAAATAGAATAACCAGATCAATGATGTACCAAGTTAGACGAAGTACGGTGTTTGTTTGTGGGTAAATACACAACTGTTCAGGATGCTTGAGTATATCATAGATATAACATACACATCATAGATCACAGCACTCAACATCTAGCAGCACAAGCAGAGAGAGAGAGAGAGCAAGCAAGCAAGGTCAAAGGTGACAAGTATAGCATTAATAATGACGTCATAAATATATCTTACATACGGTACCGGTACTATGTGTAATCAGTCATACAGAGGTGTGATACATCATTGTATACATATGAATCCACCCACACAAAAAAAACATTCTGAGTCAAGTTGTTAAAAGCATCCAGAGAAAGTCGACATGAAAGTCTTCTTTGAATTTGATTTGGAATGTGAATAAAGTAACAACATGCCTCGTTCAGTCTTGAACATATGAATAACCATAGCTCAAGATAGTATTTTAATTTCACAGTAAAAGTGAACTCAATAAAGATAAATTCGATGATATTTCATTTGTCATAGAAGAAGACAAGTAATATGAAAATTCAGAAAAAGCTGTTTGATAATTACATAATATATCAATTATCATAGCCTGTATAATATTCTTTAGGTCAGCAGGTTGGTGCAATAACTTTTTTTTTATTTCCAGATGGTGGTATGGTTACAGTAACAAGAACATTCAATTTGTTGCAAACATTCGAAGTAAGCCGACAAGAAATTTCTTTTCATATCTGATTTGGAAAGTTGATAGGATATCGATATGCATCATTTCTTATTGAACATGTAAATGGCACATGCCATTCTCGGAACAGTGATTTAGTTTCAAAGCTCAAATGTGAACTACCGGTAAGTAAAGTAAATGATAAATGGGCAAGAATAAAAAATTAATCATTAGTCATAAGAGGAGACAAGTAATAAGAAATTGAGAAAATTGGTGAGACTAGTAATGTAATAGTTATATTATAACAACTATCACACATTTGCAATATTTAAGTCCCCGAGACACCGAACAAAGTTGTGATATATTGACTAACGAGTTGTTAAAACAACAATTTATTGACCAGATGTAACTAAATTAAATCTTCGTGTTGATATTATTGCCCTTGTCCTCCGCCTAACTAATGAATTTTTAAAATCTCTCCCAAGTTTTAATAAGCATAATCACTTCTTCCAATGCTCGCAGCACGTTGTCTTTTGAGATTTCACAGTTTGCCTGCAAAGCCGTGAATTTCACATTGTTGCGTCACGGTCACAACATCAGGGAAAATCTACGTTTCAATTGGCACCTAGTTTCAATTGACACGCATTTCCTCTAGTAGTAATGAAGAATATTAAAAAAACAGCAACACACAAAAACTCGACTGCCGTCCAAGTACCCCTGGAAATCTTCTCGTGAACCCCAGGTTGAGAACCCCTGCTCTAAAATAACGGAATATCGCCGTGCAGGTGTGCTCAGCAGGATATCCCAGCGTTTACTGGCAAGTTTTAAAATGAAGAAAATGGAGATAGGTTTTTGTTAACGATTTTGGTCATTTAAATCTGTCTTTGTACATGATATTACGATTTACTACAACTTCTAACGACTTTGAAAATATGGCAAAACGCGATTTCAACTCCTTTAATTCGTAGGACCTGAGAAGAGCTATGGATGACGTTGAAAGGGGGATGTCATATGCAAAATCTGCAAAACTGTACGGGGTTAAGAAGTCAACGCTTTATGACAAAATCAAGAACCGTCATCTAAAAAAAATTGGTCATCCCACAGTACTGACTGAAGAGGAGGAGTGCCGATTTGCGTCATGTCTGGAAATAGTAGCTCGTTGGGGGTTTCCGGTCGGTCCAGACGACATGAGGAATATCGTCAAAATTTATTTGGACAGAAAAGGGGTGAAGTCATTTTTCCCAGAGAACAAACCTGGCATTAAGTGGCTGAATAACTTTTGAAAAATACCGCTTTTGACGAAACGTCTAGCTTTTAACACAAAACGGGCGAGAGCTGCAGTCGGACGCGAAGAAATCAAATCATATTTCGCAGAGATGAAGCCCATACTATGCGAAGTTCCACAAACAAATATCTCCAACTATTACGAGACTATCCTCCAACTTGGAACAAATAGGGTCGAGAAAGCAGCTGGATTTTTGCTTCCTCCAATGGTCGTGTACGCTGCAATAAACGTCTATACTTACTGGACGTCTGATGGCCCACCTGGCACTATATATGACGCCACACCCAGTGGTTGGTTTGATAGTAGAACATTTATAAGGTGGTTCAAAGACTTGTTTGTGCTCCATTGCCAGCAACTTGAAGAAAAGAAAGTTCTTGTGGGAGATAACCTATCTTCCCACCTAAGTATGGACGTAATCGAAATAGCCGATCGCCACAATATTTATTTCACCTGCTTATCGCCGAACAGCACCCACATCTTGCAACCGCTGGATTGTTCGTTTTTTGCTCCATTAAAGTCAACGTGGAGGAAAATTTTGTCTCAGTGGCGAACGGATACAAGAATAAGGCCAAGGGGATACCCAGAGGAACATTTTTCTCTACTCCTAAAAACTTTATATATAGACGCAGAGAAAACTGCGGCAAAAAACTCATTCCGGGATTTCGAACATGCGGTCTCCACTCATTCAACCCTGAGCTTGTTTTGAACAACTTGCCACAAAACCAAACTGATTACATTTCAGTACCGGTATCAGATAAAGAAGGAAGTGAACGCGACGCTACCACATCGTGCTTCATTAAATATTTAAGTCAAATGCACAAAAAGACTACAAGTCCAGTGCGCCGCCGAAGAGGCCCACGGAATTTATGTCTACGCGATCAAACAAATATAATTGGAAGTAGACAAAACAAAATCTCAGGACAGTCAACTTCATCGGATGATTCTTGCACAGCGTGTGAATTGTGGAATGATTTTGATTATTGGATTATGGATTTGATTATTATTTGTTATTATATCATCATGTTTTCTGGTTTGACGAAAAAATAAATTTTCTCTCTCTAACCCCAACCTTGTACACAAACTACGTTTCGGTGTCCGCCATGTTGGTTCGCATACTACAGGAGTACCGATGTACGGCCTATGCATGGCACCATTTTTTGTTTTCAGAATCAATGGACTTTATCGATTTCCGACTACAAGATTACAAATCATCAATATGTCACTAAAGAAATTGAGGCCAAATATAAAAACTGAATTGGTTGAAAATATGGCTTTAGTAATAAACAGGTGGATAGATATGAGTGATAAAGAAAAATTTGTAAACATGTTTCGTTTTGTAAGTAAAGGAAGATTTGAGTTGGAAAAAGGTGTGAAAAAGATTGAAGAAAAATCAAAATGGAAGATATTTTAAAGGCCCTGAATGTCTAACAGGTATGATTGCTGGATCGAACAAGGCAAATCCTTATTGTACTTTTTCATCCAACTATCACAATGTGTAAGTTAGCGAAAACTCTTATTTCCAGGAATTTCATTGCTTTGGATTATGCACTTTCACAAATTGTTCAATAACTTTCTAAAATGTCACTCCGGGTGGCAAAAAAACTGCCACTTTCAACCATTGTGATCACATTCGTCACGCAAAAGGCGAAGTCAAGTTCAGTGAGATACAGAGAAATTGCCGAAAGGTCCTCTTGATTGTCTGAAGACATCACCAGAAGATGTTTCACCTTCAGGTTGTCGTGACGACGCGCCAAACAAGAGTGTTCTAATGCAGATATCAATATCGCTGATGAATATGCAAATTTAGTAGAAATACACAGGAAACAACACACGACTCACGAAAGTAATAATCTGAAAATTAAGGGGATATTGCAAAAGATCTATTGCATAGCGCCTTCCGCAAACTGCTCTACAATGAAGCATCACTGCGGACTGCCTATCAACGTGGTAAAATTGATGCCGTGTATATTAATGTCACTGGAAACATCTTGACCAGGGGTGGCCAAGGTTTTTGCACCAGGGGCCAAAAACTTTGCCTAACTAGAATGGCGGGCCATGTAAGTGTGACATAAAAAGTTACATTATATGAACACAATAAACCACGTTCCAAAACTTAATTTACCGTAATCGCAATCTCAACAAATTCCTTGAGCAATTTTCCAGCTAAAACATCGAAACTTGGTTTTAGTTTGGTTGTGGCAGCATCAGCCGGGCCAGATTGAATTAACTATATTTGGCCCGCGGGCCGTACTTTGTCATGTCAGATTTTGACCAATGGTAAAACAAAAACCAAACCTCTTTACGAATACGAAATAGTTGTGCGTCATTCTGTTGAGTCGCCGTTTGCATTCGCGACGTACCTCACTTCATATCACGGAATGACATCAATAACCTATTTCGTAGCCATCATTAGTGCATCAATTCAGACTGATATCATGTCGCAAGTGGAATCCCCGGTTGAATATATTCGATGGGAGTATAGTTAATAAAAATTCGGCGATGAAAGTCGTCACTGGAGTATCGATGGCGGAGTACAATCATTAATTTATTCGAATATGCACTGGGCATGTGACACAAAGGGTTGTTGCAAAAAAACGATTTATCACATCTGCACTAGCCCCCCTGCCAAAATTAATTAACATTGATTAATCTGATACAAATAGGGATAAACTTCCCGACCTAACTAAGCCATAGCTATGATGAAATTAGTTTCTTTGTACGG